CCCGCATGCAAGTCACATAGAACCCACTGTTTCTCTGCAGTGAGATGCAGCAACTCAAATAGTGTTTCTACCAGGGAGGTCCATTAGAAACTCAGCAGCCCAAGTTTTTCTTTGGGCTAGCCATGTAAGACCCTCTGCCTAGAATATACCAAATTTCCAGGCTCTCAGAAAGAAGAAAAATGCTAAGCATAAACCAGTTTTTACACAGGCTAGGCACCGTCTCCCCATTACCATTTAACTGACCAGGCATTCTAAGAGCCAAGTTTCCATATGCCAGCCAACGGCCAACCATGCAAACAGGCCTTTCTAAGGATAATAGTGTAAGGTCAGCTGTGTTCACTCTTTTGCTGAGACTTAGTTGGCTCTCTCTCTCTGAAAATAGCTAAATAATTATACCTCGTACTTGTGTTCAAAATGAAGTTTATTAGAACTAATCATTACATGTAGCATCATTTGTAAAATATTGGGAACAACCTTGCTATCCCTCATTTACAGTAAGTTTTGCTAGGTGCTGATGGCTCACACCTGTAATCTTAGCTATTTGAAAGAGAGATCAGGAAGATCAAGGTTTGAGGTCAGCCAAGGGAAATAGTTCAAGAGACCCCCATCCCCAAAATAACTAGAGTAAAATGGACTGGAGATATGGCTCAAGTGGTTGAGTGCCTGCTTTGCAAGAGCAAAGTTCTGAGTTCAAACCACAGTTCCACCAGAAGATAAATAAGTCTGCTTTCATACTGGGGTGTGCTGGGCAACTGTTAACTAAAAAAAGAGGGAACTGATTTTTGATATAGAAGTTCAGAATAATCAAGTTAAAATATGTAAGGGCGAAACCAGGTATGTAAAGTGGATGAATTCATATTGTTTTCTTACATGTTATTTAAAATCTCTGAAGTATAAAGGAGATCCTTAATAGTGGCCAATGGGGATAGGCCACGGGGCAGGATAAGAAGGACTTCTTACTGTGGTACCCCTTCTGTAGCAGTCTCCTTTTCATTTTTTAGTGTTTCCTATTTGCTGATTTGTCCTACTTTGCTAAATCTTACTTGTAATTCCTAGATTGGTAAGAATATAATAAGTAAAATTGTAAGGGGCAGAAACGGTATGTAAAGTGGATGAATTCATATGATGTTTTCTTACATGTTATTTAAAATCTCTGAAGTATAAAGGAGATCCTTAATAGTGGCCAATGGGGATAGGCCACGGGGCAGGATAAGAAGGACTTCTTACTGTGGTACCCCTTCTGTAGCAGTCTCCTTTTCATTTTTTAGTGTTTCCTATTTGCTGATTTGTCCTACTTTGCTAAATCTTACTTGTAATTCCTAGATTGGTATCTTAAGCTATTTGAGAAGAACAGATCAGGAAGATCAAGGTTTTGAGGTCACGCCAAGGGAAATAGTTCAGAGACCCCCATACCAAAATAACTAGAGTAAATGGGACTGGAGGATATGGCTCAAGTGGTTGAGTGCCTGCTTTGCAAAGAGCAAAGTTTCTGAGTTCAAACCACAAGTTCCCCAGAAGATAAATAAGTCTGCTTTCATACTGGGGTGTGCTTGGGCAACTGTTAACTAAAAAAAAGAAGGAAACTGATTTATTGATATGAAAGATCAGAATACATATCAAGTAAACAATTTTAAGGGCCAGAACAAGGTAGTAAAAGTGGAATGAAATTCACTATTTGATGTTTTTCTTTTACATGTGTATTTTTAAAAAATCTCTGGAAGTATAAAGGAGAATCCTTAATAGTGGCCAATGGGGAATAGGCCACGGGGGCAGGATAAAGAAGGACTGCTCTTACTGGTGTAACCCTCTTCTTGTATGCAGTCTTCTTATTCAATTTTTATGTGTTTCCTAATTGCTGATTTGCCTACTTGCTAAATCTTTACTTGTAATTCCTAGAATTTTGGTACTTTTGAGTGCTTTTGTGGCCAAAACTTTGAGCTGCTGGTATGTTTTTCTTTGAGCTGGGACAGGGTGACAACTCAGTCTTCCTGTTTTGCTCTATATATAATCTACTTAGTGTCCTTTTTTTTTTTTTTTTTGGTGGTGTTGGGGATTTGAATTTAAGGGCCTTTCTACCTTGAGTCATCGCCAGCCCTTTTTTGTGAATTTTTTTTTTTCCAATTAGGTTCTCACCAACTGTTTGCCCCAGGCCCTGGCTTCAAAAACTGCGATCCTCCTGTCTCTGCTCCTTGAACTAGCTGGATAATAGGCGTCGCCACCAGCAGCAGGCTCAAGTGTCTTTTTTTTTTTTTTTTTTGCAGACTATTTGTATCATGAATGTTTTTTGCAGTGAATTTCAATATTAATGAATCACAATATCTAAATAATGGTGTCTTTTAATGAAACTAAAAAAAGATTATGTATTGATTGGTTGATGAAAATGTTCGGGGGTGGAGGGAGGTAGCAGGTGCTGGTGGCTCATGTCTGTAATCCTAAGTTACTCAGGAAGCTATGAGATCAGGAGGATTGATGTTCGAGGCCAGCCTGGGCAAAATAGTTCCGTGGACCCTAATTTCAAAAATTAAGGGGCTGTTAGAGTGACTGAAGCAATAGGGTGCCTGCCTAGCAAGCATAAGGCCCTGAGTTCAAATTCCCCCTAGTGCTACAAAAAGAAAATGTTCTTGGGGGTTTCAGGAACTCAGCCCTGTATTTCCCTTAGGAACAGTGGTTTAATATTCATTCATAATTCTTTGCCTCTTGTGACTTTATAGAGCATGACTCCTGCAATTAATGTAAATCAACTATGTTATCTTTGGACCATGTGCTATATTACTATTAAGACTTAAGTCATTGTGTAGGAAAAATACCATTGTAATGTAATTGTTACTGTGTTCTGGGTGAAAAATGTACAGAACTACACAGAGTGCTTTTTAATATGTGTATATACATTTATGATAAAAAATAAAAAGGATTATAGTCCCAAACAAATTATTCTCTTTGGGTCGCACATAGTGTCATTTCCATTTTTCATATCTTTAACTTTTTCAATTATGAAAACAAATCTGGCTGAGCACAGTGGCACACACTCTAATCCCAGCACAAGGAGGTGGGGAGGCACAGCATGGAGAGTGAAAGGCCAGCCTGGGCTAAGATAGTGGGCACTGTCTTTCAAAACAGAAGAAGGAGAAAAAGAAACTAGTTGATGAATGTATGAAACAGATCAATAATGTCATGACTTCTGTAATAGGGAATCATGTTATAGAAGTCACTCAGCAATTTGAAAATTGCTTCCAGGAAAGAAGTAAAAATGTAAACAAAAGACAGACCCAAGGAGCAGAAAGATTGCATCAGGCTCTGGCTTGGAGGAAGGAATGAAGTGGATAACAGGTTATTCCCTATCTAAAGAAACAATAGTGGCTCTTATACCTAACTTTGGGGTAGGACAGGAGACAAATTCTATTTGGTTACTTGAAAGGTAAAGGTATTTATTATGCCTTTTTCTTTTTTTTTTTCCTGTTTTTTTTCTGGCAGTATTGTGGTTTGAATTTGGTCCTGTGCTTGCAAGGCAGGAGCTCTGTCAACCACAGCCATTCCTCCGCCCATCTATACTTTTTAAAAATAGATAATCATGATGTGGCAATCAATTCAGAACATAGATTTTTTTTTTTTTCTAAGAATCATTTTTGGGTGAGCCTGGAGGCCTTATAATCTCATCTTCTTGGGATGTGAAGATTGGGAGTATTGCATTTCAAGGCCAACCCCAGGTGGTTAGTGAAACCCCTTCTCAACAAACGAGCCTGGAGTGATGGTATACTCCTGTCATCCCAGCTATGTGGGAAGCGCAGTTTAGAGGATCCCAGACCGGCCCAGGGCAAAAATAGTAGATTTTATCCTAAAATTAATGGCAGGAAAGAGCTGTAGGCATGGCTTAAGAGGTAGCTTGCCTGCCTAGCAAGCCCAAGGGTCTGAGTTCAAATTCCAGTACTGCCAAAAAGACTCCTTTTTGCCAAATCACTTTTCAGAGTTGTTGAGCTAATATATCTGTATTAGCACTGTACTGGGACTGCGTGGTTTTCCCACATCCCCACTAACAGTGTGTTATTAAACTTAACAGTCTCTCTGTAATAGACTCCCATAACTACTGTTTTTGATCCATTTGAGGATCTTTTTGTAGCAGTCACTATTTCTCTGTCTTCTGTAGTTTTAAATTTCTAAAATAGTACTACTATTCTTTCCTGGAATTCTAATCAAACTTTGCTTATGTGATGAGAGAGCCCAACACAGTGCAGTTTATTAATCCGAGGCTAGTTTTCTTCAGAAGTGTTTTTTAGGTTTCTCTTTTTTATTTTTGTTTTTTTTTTTTTTTTTGGCAGCACTGTGGTTTGAACTCAGCGCCTCATGCTTGCTGGGCAGGCACTCTACCACTTGAGCCAGTCTGCCAGCCCCTAAGTTGTACAGACTTTTTTAACCTGTTTTTCTTTATAAGATGAGGTGGCTTGAGAAGGGTACATGCCATCCTTAGCTGGTCCCATGTGCCTTAGTTGGCAAAGTCTGGAATGGGAAAAGGTTTCTAGAAGCTTAGAATTACATCTCTGGGTAACTGTGCAGTTCCTTGAGTCCATTCTGTGTACTAAATGCTTTATGTACATTGTTTTATTCAATCTTCATAAGAAACAGGTCAGAGTTAATCCCATTTTATAGATAAGAAAATGAAGCTGGGTGCATTACATTGTCGAAAGTCACAAGGCCAAAAAACAGGGTGATAGAAAGGAAAATCCTGTTACCTTTATCCCATAATCTCAACTAACCCCAACTGTTTCTCTAAATTCATTGTAGACATTTAGGGGTTTCAGGATGATGAGGAGGAAGAATGAAAAGCAGATAAACTATTCCCCTGTTCCTTTCAGCTCTCCTCCACAACCAACAGTGTATCATCCCAGCCAATCATCTTTCTGTTAAAAGTCACCACATGTCTCAGCTTTTTAACCGCTGTATGAACTTTGCCCAGAAAACGAATTACTGAACAAATACGGGTATTAATATATGTTTCTCTCTTGCAGAAAAAACGCAGTGAAATTCCTTGTTACTGGGAAAATCAGCCAATGGGATGTCAAAAATTAAACTGTGCTTTCCATCACAACAGAGGACGTTATGTCGATGGCCTTTTCCTCCCTCCAAGCAAAAGTGAGCTCACCTATGCCCACTGAATAGAGTACTTCATATACATCGTGTACACTGCTTTCTTTCAAGTGGAGCAGTCTTATTTCTACTTTATAGATGAGGAAACTAAACCTTACTGAGGTTAAATGCTTTGTGTATAATAACAGAAGTAAATCTTTCTTGACATACAAGATTAGGTTACTATAACTTGCTTCATTTCCCATTTTCTTATCAGACCCATAGAGGTAATTTGATTCTCTAGGCCAGGAGTTGGCAAATCTGGTCCTCTGCCTGTTTAGTAAAATACAAACTTATTGTAAGATAGCTTTGTCCACTCAGTATATTTTCTATGGCCGATTTTGTGTTACTGCCTCAAGAGGTGAATTGTTGAGAGACCATATGGTGTATAATGCTAAAATACTAGCTATCCAGTTCTTTACAGAAAAGTTTGCCAACCCTGCCCTAGGCTATCATCTAAAATACAACTTGTACTCTACAGAAAGCTGGTATTTATTTTCAGAGTCCCTTTTAATCTCTAGTGGAATTATGGGCCATTAAAAATCACATCTGAGCCAGGTATGTAGTACATGCCTGTAATCCCAGCACTTAGGAAGCTGAGGCAAGAGAATTGTGAGTTCAAGACTACCCTGTCTCCAAAAAGGCACATTTGCTATGTGATTAAAATGTGATGGCTGTATCTTTACCTCTTTATTTAAGGACAGAGAATAGGTTCACTATTTTCTGGTTTGATTCAAATAAGTGTTTTCTATCTTTTAAAAGCTACTACTTTGCTGAGCAAAAAACTAGAATTTCTTTTTGTTGTTGTTGTTGTGCTGGGTGCAGGTACATTGTGGCATTTACAAAGTTCTTAAAGTATATCAAATATATCGTACTTGAATTCACCCCTTCCACCACTCTCCTTTATCCCGCCTGCCCCCATTCCTGAAATAGTTTCAACAGGTGTCATTTTTCCATTTACATACATGTGTACACGGTATTAGTTAAATTCCTTTTTTTTTTTTTAAACATTTTTTTCTTTAATTAGGATATATTCATTATACTGAGGGGGGGAATTCATAGTGACATTTCTGATCAGGCTTCTATTGTACATTACTTACATCACCCCCCTCATCTCTTCCCCTCAACCCCTTTCCCACCCCACTTAAAGCAATTGCGGGAGGTTTCCTGGTTCTATTTCATATAGGGATATGAAGTCCATCAACCATGTGCCATCACCTTAATCTCTTTCCTTCACCATCCCCCACCCCACTCGTGCGCGTACATGCATGCATGCACGCGCACACATACGCTGTGAAGGGGTTGAACAGACTAAAGTGAAGCACACCCACAGTGGGCATACATTGAGACACCCCTTTGAACAATCAACTTTAAATATTAATAATGAAAACCAGGACTGTAATGGCTTCTACCCGGAAACCTGGCATCAGTTTAAAGCAAGGTAAGAGGCTGTATTGTTGCTCAACCTGGCAGCATTCTGCAGTGTGTCTGCACTGTTTCTCTTATCGTGCTACACATACATGCCCTTTCTCGTAATCATTCATTCAAAACATTGCCGTCCCTGTGGTGAACAGATGAAGTGCAAAGGTGAAAAAACTCTAGTTCCTCATGTGGTTTTTATTTGGCTTTCTCAGGTGAAGATTTGAACTTTGGAATAAAAACTCTTGAGGAGATTAAATCAAAGAAAATGAAGGAAAAATCCAAGAAGCAAGGTGGTAAGTCATCAGCAAGTTTTGGCACAGGTGATTGTGTGTTACCAGAAAAGAATAAAGACACTTCTGGAAGAAACAGCCAAAATGAGCACATAGATTTTTATTTCTGTGGCTTGTTTAAAGTAAAACGCAGACTTACGGCAGTTATGTTTTAGAGCTGATCTCAAGAAGTAGAACTGAAGAATACCGTGTAAGAACATTTTACTGGGGTTTGAACTCAGGGTGCTTCACTTGCTAGGTAGGCATTCAACCACTTGAGCCGTGCCCACAGCCCCTTTTTTTTTTTTTTTTTTTGCTTTGGCTGTTTTTCCACAGGGTCTCACCTCCATGTAGCTAGGATTACAGGTACATGCCACCTTATTTATATTTATATATATTACATGTACATGTCCAGCTTATTTGTTGAGATGGGCTTTCCTTAACTTTTTGCCCAGGCTGGCCTCAAACCACAATCCTCCCAATCCCTGCCTCCCAAGTAGCTGGGATTACAGGTGTGTATCACCAAACCCAGCCTTTTTTCATTTTTTGAGACAGGATCTTGCTGTATGTATAGCTCAGCACACCTGGAACTCATAATCCTCCTTTCTCAGCCTAAGTACTAAGATTACATTTGTGCACTGCTCCTTGGCTAAGAACCATATTCTGAGAGCAGAAACCTTGTTTTGTGGTCGAAGGATTCTTCCTCAGGAGCTGCTAGGCTTTTCTTCTGGAACTTGCCTGAAACCTGGTTGATGTGTACTTACCTAAAAATTATAGGTAAAGTGTGGAATGTGGTATATGGAGAGACAAATAGGTTTTGATGGTTCACTTTAGAATAGTGTTAGCCTTATTGTAAACCTAAGTTACTCTAAACACCTTAGGGTTTTGTTTTCATTGGACCCATGGCTCCCCTAACCATTACCATCACTCAGGCAAGTGGATCCAGGAAGACTGACTGCATTGTAGCCCTGGGGCTCTCTGTATTGGACTTAGCTGATCATAGAAACCAAATGTCATGACTTGAGAGAGCTTTAGTTTCTGTAAGTCACTTGCTATTCTTTGACTTTCTTATTCAGAAGGTTCTTCAGGAGGTGCCAGTCTTTTACTCCAGCCTCAGCCCGTTCCAGGTCCTGAGAAAGAGAATGTTCGCACTGTGGTGAGGACAGTAACTCTGTCAAGCAAACAAGGTGAGGCACGCTATTAAGAATGCAAAAATCTGTTTTTGTTTTTAAACCTTTGGTGGATTTGCAGGAAGACTTTAATAGGAAATCAGATGTAAGTATGAAAAGAAAAGTTGATACATTTAACCCTTTTACTTATTTGTTTACTTTTGGTTGTACTAGGGGTTGAACTCTCGGAGCCTACACTTGTTAGGCAGGGGCTCTACCCACTGGAGCCACACCCCCCAGAGCTGCTTTTTTTCACTCTAGTTACCTTTTGGATAGGGTTTCACATTTTTGTTTGAGCCAGCCAGTAGTCCTGTTTATGCTTTTTAAATAGTTGGGGTGATAAGCACGTGCCATCACACCCAGATTTATTGGTTGAGATAGGGGTCTCAATAACTTTTTGCTCAGAGTGGCCTCAAACTGTGACCTTCCTGATCTCCGCCTTCTGAGTAGCTGGAATTACAGGTATGAACCACCATTCCTGGCCGTAGTATACATTTAAATGGGCCATTCGTACAACAAAGAGTCAGAAAACTCATTTGCAGGAATGATAAAAGAAAAATAATTTACCATAGTGGAAAAGGAGAGGTATAGCTTGGACTTTATAACCAACTGGTTAAGAACATAATCTGTCTTACACTTAGCTGTTTTTGGTAAATCTGTGCTATTGCTTTCATTTGGGCTTTTCATTTTGACTATTTAAAGTATTTATTTACTCAATTCGCTCGTTTATTTTTGTGATAGTTTGCTTAAGACGGAGACCTGGTTTTCAAGAGACTCCCTGTGTGAGCTCATAGTAGTAGTATTAGATCATACATTATACCCATTAGTAGTTACTGAATACGGAAATTCTGTTTTTGCCATTTCAGGAGAAGAACCCTTGGTTAGACTGAGTCTTACTGAGAGACTGGGGAAACGCAAGTTTTCAGTAGGTAAGATAAGTTTTGTGCATGTTTCGTTGTGCTTGTTTGTGCAATAGCATGCTGCTTTCTCTACACCCCTCATACACAGGTCAGCTTTGATTCGCCAGTTTCCTTGTATTTTTGGTGGAAAGCACTTGTAAATTTCCTCATGTTTTTCACCTGTGTGTGCTGTTCATGATGTTACACAAATCTGAAGTGCTGCAATTTAATTAGATTATGACCATAGCAAATCTCTTAGACGTGGTTTATTCTTCTTTATTTTTTGAATAAATTTAAATGTGTTTTAGAGAGGGGGAAAAAGTATCTGGTTAATATAATTTGGGCCCTTAAATTTATATTAGTGCTATTTCAATATACAGGGAAGTATTTTACCATATTGCTGAATCATTACATACCTACCACAACGTGTCTGTTTCAAAAAAATTTTTTTTGAAAATCTTTTCTTACTTCAGAGACTTTGTAATACTATTTTAAATGAGTTTAAAATGCACCTTATTTCCATTTTGTGTTTTCTTTGATATTCTACTTACCACCCTGTCTTCAAAACTGGGTACTCAGGTATATTGGTACATGCCGGTAATTCCATCACTTAGGAAGTAGAGGCAGGAAAAACACAAGTTCAAGACTAGCCTGGGATATATAGCAAGACTGTCTCTAAAAACCAACATATAGCGCTGTGACCAAGTGTTTGCCTAGCCTATGCCAAGGCCCTGGTTTCAATCCATAACACTGAAAATGAAAAAAAAAAAAGAAAAGTCTATTCTGAACATAGTAGTCAGAATGTGAATGGTTATCACTGAATCAGTTATGTGGTTATTGCCCTAAGTAATAGAAAGCTTTCATTGATTAAATCATGTCTACAAGTGCTGTGGATATATTCTGTCATAGTACCTTCAATACACTTTCAGTCTAGTCCTCAGCAAACACAAGGAAACTCAACACAGAGCCTAGCACTTACTAAATGACAGCAAATACGTTTTGTGCCAGTCTCAAACTTAGAATGCTTTAAATAACTTGCCCAAGGTTACATTCAGGTGAACATATTGTCAAGTATGTAGTCACGTCCAAAAACAGCTTAGAAGACACAGAAATGAGGCAGTCTTTATAGTCTTACCAGTATTTCAAGAAACAGTTCCAGCTCTAGATTTTTTTTGGAGGGAAGGGGGTGTGGGAGGACAGTCCCAGGGTTTGAACTCAGGGCCTTTCACTTGCTAGGCAGGTATGCTACCACTTGATCCACAACCCCCAGCCCTAGACTGTTTGGTTTGTTGGGGGGGGGGGTGGAGACAGGGCCTCACTCAGTCGCTCAGACTGGTCTTAAACTTGAGATCCTTCTGTCTTTGTAATCCTTTCGCAGTACTGAGATCACAGGCATGCACCACTGTGCTCACCCTACTCTAAATTTTAAGAGATTGACTCCTGTAGTTGGAGCATATGCCAAGCCAGGGTTCTAAACAATGAGACTTTCAGGATTGATAAAACTGATTCAAAATTCTGGATTTAAAAAAAAAAATGCTATTATTTTACGTTTTTTTAGTTTAATGTTTTATTTATCACGTTACAATTGGTTCACTGCACATCAAGGTCACCTCTAAAGCTGAAATTTTTATTTTTCTTCAAAATAACCCTTTTTAAAAATGCTTCATCCGCTGGTCCTATTAGCCCTACATAACAAGACGATAAGATGATCACACAGTAGCCAAGAAAGAGCCCCACATGTTACAGTGTTGTATTTGGTTGTGGTAATATGTCATTAACAGTGAAGTGACTATTAGAAAAGTCATGTGGCTTGCACAGTCATTTTTGCTGGGTGATGTTGTTCCCAATAGATTGATTGCTAACAAGGTAATATATGATAAACCTAGTGGGAAAAATTTTTATAGTCATGTCCACAGCAAATGAGAAACTGCATTCTATTTTTTTTATTATTATTTTATTATTCATATGTGCATACAACGCTTGGGTCATTTCTCCCCCCTGCCCCCACCCCCTCCCTTACCACCCACTCCGCCCCCTCCCCCTCCCTCTCCCCCCCCACCCCCTCAATATCCGGCAGAAACTATTTTGCCCTTATCTCTTAATTTTGTTGAAGAGAGAGTATAAGCAATAATAGGAAGGAACAAGGGTTTTTGCTAGTTGAGATAAGGATAGCTATACAGGGAGTTGACTCACATTAATTTCCTGTGTGTGTGTGTTACCTTCTAGGTTAATTCTTTTTGATCTACCCTTTTCCTGGTCCCCTTTTCCTATTGGCCTCAGTTGCTTTTAAGGTATCTGCTTATAGTTTCTCTGCGTTGAGGGCAACAAATGCTAGCTAATTTTTTAGGTGTCTTACCTATCCTCACCCCTCCCTTGTGTGCTCTCGCTTTTATCATGTGCTCAAAGTCCAATCCCATTGTTGTGTTTGCCCTTGATCTAATGTCCACATATAAGGGAGAACATACGATTTTTGGTCTTTTGGGCCAGGCTAACCTCACTCAGAATGATGCTCTCCAATTCCATCCATTTACCAGCGAATGATAACATTTCGTTCTTCTTCATGGCTGCATAAAATTCCATTGTGTATAGAGACCACATTGAGAAACTGCATTCTAAAAGCCTTGGTAATGAGTTCATGCTATTTTAATGTCATCGTACGTGTAAACTCCATGATTTGGGGTTTCATATTTAAATTACTAATAAGAGAAGACAGAAAATCATAATCTGCCTGTGTAGGTCTTTTCAGGTTTTTAATTGGACTCTACAAAGAATATAATTTGTCAGGCATTTCAAAAGCAGCTTTTAAAAGCTGGTGACATTTAAACATCTTATATTGAACAATTCAGTAGTGTTAATAAACGGGAGTCAGGAAACTTATTTGAGTCTTGACTGTAACTAGTCAGCGACTTGGAAAGAGAGGTAATTGTGGAACCTTAGGTTTTATCTGGCATGAAGAGAAGGTGCTGTGCAGCCTTCAGAGACTTTTTATCACAGGAGAGCTGAAAATTTTCTAATTCTTCTGCAGGAATCATCTTCATATTTGAATCTAACTTGAATTCATTTGGCCAGTTAAGATTTTATTGTGATGATTTTTCATATCACAATTCTGATCTTTTGTTTGTTTGTTTGCTTGGTTAGGTATAGTTTTTGTGTTTTCTTTTTTTTGGTTTTTTCATTTGGTGGTACTGGAGTTTGAACTCAGGTCCTCGCACTTACTGGGGGAGTATACTAACACTTGAGCCATGGCCTCTGCCCTCACATTCTTAATCTGGAACTTCAACCTGAACCAAGGCTTGTGATCCTCCTTTTGTAGTTTTAATTGTAGATTTGGTAGATGTTCTTTTGTGCATTTAAATCTTTTGTACACTCCTTGCTTCTTTCTTGGATATTTTTACTTCACCTGTAACATTTGAGTTCTAAGGAAGCTGATAAACAAACACACCATGTAAATGCAGAAAAACTGACAGAATTACTTTACATTGTCTGGTTTTGCTTGTATCTCTCTTTTCTTTTTTTTTAATTTGCAGTACTGGGGCTTGAGCCACTCCACCATCCCTATTTTTGTGTAGGGGCTCACAGAGCTATTTGCCCAGGCTGGCTTCGAACCTCCTGATCTCTGTCTCCTGCGTAGCTAGGATTACAGGTGTGAGCCTCTGGCTCCTGGCTGCTTGTATCTCTTGACCTTGCTAAAGATTGAAATCTTAAAGTAAGTTCCCCCTATTTATAGGTGGTGACAGTGAACCTCCATTAAAGCGGAGCCTAGCACAGAGGCTAGGGAAGAAAGTTGAAACACCAGAAACTAACACCGACAAAGCACCAAAGAAAGGTAGGTCTGTTTTGTACCTGTATGTAATCATGACACTTGTTTGTTGTAATGTTAACAACTGTAGTTCATCATTCTTCTGTTCAGGCAAGGTAAGGTTATTGGGTTTTTGGCATCTCTTATTCAGCAAACATTGGAGTACTTACTCTGCTAGGTTTTGACTAGGCATGTTGAACACATTACACTCCTCAGGAGCTTATAGGCCACTGGCAGGTAGAAATACTTACAGATGTTGTGATTAAATTCTGTAATAAAGAAAAGTACACAGTGCCCTGGGAACACATACGAAGGGCACTTAACATACCATTAGTTAGGGAAAGGTTCATAGAGGAAGGGAATTGAAGTTTAGCCTTGAAACATGAGTTAGGAACTAGTCTAATTAGTTGGAGGACCAGGGACTATATCCAAGGAAGATAGAGTAAACCTCACAGAGTTGCAGAGCTAAGGAAGTGTGGTATGCTCAAGGAGCTGAGCATGGCGAAAACAAAGAATTGGATGGGGAGTCTGATGACTGGAGAACAGGGAGGGACCGGCTCATATAGCACTTTTAAAGTCTTGTTAAGAGGGTTTGGGCTTATCCTAAGATAATAACAAGCCACTGAAAGGTTATAAACAGGGATCAAAGGGTCATACTTGAATTTTAGGACAATTACCCTGCCTGCAGTGTGGAGGAAGATTAGAAGGGGACAGAATACTGCCAGGGATATGATTTAGCAGACTGTTAAAATAACCCAAGTGAAAGGAGATAGTGGCATAGATTAGTGTTCAAGAAATTGATTTGTAGAATTGTGGCCTAAACTGAGAGATACAGTGGTTTATATGAAGGAGAAGGAAGTTGAGCTGAATGTTTTTACCTTTACATGATGCATGTAAATAATAAGTGGGTTTTTTTTCTTCTTGTGCTTTAAAACTTTTAACTTCCATTTTTCCTTTAGCCCAAAGAGGCTTTGATCAGTAAGTGTTCTTGTTTAGGGACTTTGTTTTGGATTTAGAACAAGCAGAAGTTGTTCTTTGTTTGGTTAAATTTTCATCCTCCTTGCTTATCAATTACACTGAAGAGGACTCAGTGATAGAGTACTTGTCTAGCATGCATGAGACTTGGGTTCAATTCACAAAACCACTGAAGATTCTCATAACAAAAGAAGTGTTTCACATAGATTTAGGGTAGGAAACCTTTGGTGCCGAAAGATTTAGAAGGTTTTACAGAAACAAATTTCTCTGTATTCAGTAGTTTTTCCTTTTCAGATCAAAACAAATTTTTTTTCCAAGCTTTTCAGACCACTCTAGAGAATCTATGATTCATCTAAATCTGTTTTGTGGAGATGAAAAATTTGACCTTGAGAGATTTAAAAAAGAAAAAAAAAAAACACAAAACAAAACATACATTACATATGTAGCCTAACCCGATGTGGTGGTATGCACCTATAATCCCAAACCCAGAAAGTCAGGGTGATAGAGATAGATGGATCAGGATTTCAGGGCCAGCAAAGTTAAGTAAAACCAGATCCTACCTCAAAAAATACAAAATAAAAGGGCCCAGGGTGTGGAACAAGAGGTAGTGCACTTGTCAAGCATGCTTGAGGCCTGGATTTAATCTCAGTACTGAAAATAAAAAGAGAGAAATATAGCCTATTTTGTGAACATTGAAAAAAACTATAAGTCTCTTTTCAGTTGTTGGATTTAGACATACTTTTTCTTTTTATAGTTCAAGTTTCCAAGTCTCTGAAGGAACGATTAGGAATGTCAGCTGGTTCAAACAATGAGGAAACAACAGGTACTTAAAACAAAATCATAAAACCAAATTCTCATATTTTTTTCTTTGCCTTTTTTTTCTGATTTGCATATTACAATTAGGTTAGGCCTTGTGGTTTTGGTTCTTTGTAGTTCTCTTTGTTTTTTAAGCAGTTTTAATCAATTACTCACTGATACGAATTCCTTTCTTGTAGTGGGAGATGGCAAAATGATTGTCCATCATGGCATTAATAGGATATCCAAAAGAGGCGGGGGGGATTGGATAAAAAGTTGTGGTAGTTATATGCTAAAATAATTGCTGTTAATAAATGTGTTCTAATTGGCTAGGAGTGTAGATCAGTGGTTAGCATGCACAAGACCTGGGTTCAGTCCCCATCACCAAAAAAGTTCCTGAACAATAATGGTATAAAAAAACTTGCCTTGTATCAAAAGAAGAAAGGTTATAAAAAGGAATCAAATACATGGAAACACAAGTTACCAGAGCCAGTTCTAAGAGATAAGTTTATAGTTACGAATGCTTACATTAAAAAAGTCACAAGATCTTAAATACGTAACTTAATGATGTGCCTTGAGGTCTTAGGAAAACAAGGACAAACCAAACTCAAAACCGGCTGGGATGTAGCTCAGCCTAGCATGTGTGCTTGCCTAGCATATATGAGGCCCTGGGTTTGATCCCTGGCACCAGAAAACTAGTAGACAGAAATAATAAAGATCAGGGAAGAAATTAATGGAGATTAAAAGAAAATAAAGAATCAGTGAAACTGTTGTGTTTGTTGAAAAGATAAACAAGATTGACAAACCCTTAGCTAAACTAACTGAAAGAAACAGAAGACCCAAATTAATAGAGAGATGGAAAAGAGGTTATTACAACAGATATCCCTGAAATCCAGAGGATCATTAGGAAATATTTTGAAAACTTACATCCCCATAAATTGGAAAATCTAGAAAAATAAACCGATAAAGTTAGATACATATGACCTACCAAAATTAAAACAAGAAGATCTAAACACCTTAAACGTATTTGTAATGAACAATGAAATTGAAGTAGTAATAAAGAATGCCCTGGGCTGGGGGTGTGGCTCAAATGGTAAAACAACTCCCTAGCCAGTGTGAGGCACTGGGCTCAGGGCCCTTACGGCCTTGTGCTTGCTAGGCAGCTGCTCTACTGCTTGAGCCATGCCTTTAGCCCTTTTAACTTTGGTTAATTTTGAGATAGGATATCAAATTTATGACTGGGATAACATGGGCTGCAGTCCTATTTACCTTCTCATCTAGCTGGGATGATAGGCATGTGCCATCACACCCAGCTTTTTATTGGTTGAGGTTGGGGTCTCATGAACTTTTTGCCCAGGCCAGCCTTGAACCATGATCCTTCTGTTTCTACCTCCTGAATGTCTAGGATTATAGGCAGGCACCACTGTGCCCAGCTTGATTCCAGGAATTTTAAAGGTTTTCTTTTTTGTTGTTTTTGTGGTACTGGAGATCAACCCAGGTCCTCATGCATTGTTAAGGGAAACACTAAACCACTGAGCTACATCCTCAGCCAGATTCTAGGAACATTTTTAATCCCTCCCTGATTCCAGTTATCCTCTGATCATTCAAAAGTGTATTGTTCAATGTCCATGTCCTTTATATAGTTTCTGTAGTTTCTCTCACTATTTTTGATCTGATAAGATAAAACAAATTATTTCAGTGTTAGACTTGCTTTATGTTCTAAAATGTGATCTATTTTGGTGAAAGTTCCACAGACAACTGAGAATGTGTATTCTGCAGCTTTTGGGTAGACTGTTCTATAGATTGTCAAGTCCATTTGATCTATGGGTGCAGTTTAACTCTGAAGCACCATAGATCTTGTTGATTTTTTTTTTTCTGAATAATCTAGCTCTGTTGATGGTGGTGGGGTATGAAGTCACCCACTATTATTGTATCTGTACCTTTACAGGGACACCTGCAATTCTCTGCACTAGATGTTTGGTGCATATTTATTTACAATTGTTATATCTTGAATTGTTCCTTTTAAATATCTAGTGACCTTCTTTATCCCTTCTAATTTTGCCTTGAAGATTGATCAGATATGAGAATAGTGATTTCTGCATGCTTACAGATTCCATTAAATATTGTTTTCCATTTTCATGTTCAGTCTCTGGGTGTCTTTGCCAGTGAGGTGGGTTTCTTTTATGTAGCAAACAGTTGGAACTTAGTCTTTAATCCAGTTAGCTAGTCTGTGTCTTTTTATCGGAGAGTTAAGACTGTTTACATTGATGGTTATTTTTGAGAGATATGCACTAATATCTACTTTCATTAAAGAGGTTTGTTGGTTGACTGAGCTAATAATGTTCTTGGGCCAGAGTTTGGCTCAAGTAGTAGAGTGCTGCCTAGCACTGCAAGGCTTTAAGTTCAAAGCCCAGTGCCATAGTGATACTGTCAGTAACAACAATGTTAGATTCTTTCCACATTCTCATTTTTTCTTCTCTTTTCTTTAAAGAGATTTATTTTTACCTGGTTCTCATGCTTATCTTCCTCTTCTGTGTATAGGATTTCCTTTATCTGCAGTGCTGGCTTACTGGTCATGAATTACGTTAGTTTATGCTTATCATGGTAGGTCTTTATTTCTCCTTCAGTTTTATATCCTTTAATATATAGTAATTTTGGTTGGTAGTCATTTTGTTTTAGGCCTTGAAAAACATCAGTCCAGGTCTCCTGGCCTTGAAGATTTCTTTTGAGAAGTCTGGTGTTATTCTGACAGGATTGCCTTTGTATGTATGTAACTTGGTACTTCTCTCTTTGGAGCTTTCAGTTATTTCTCTGTTCTGTAGTGTTGGCATTTTAATTATAATATGGCATGGACAAGTTCTTTTCTGGTCATGTCTGGGGTTCTAAATGCCTCATACTTGGATGTCCATTTCTTTCCCTAGATTTAGGAAATTTTTTTTTGTTATAATTTCATTGAATAAGTTCTCTATGCCTTTAGTCTGTATCTTGGTCCTTCTATACTACAGATTCCTAAGTTTGGTCTTTTAATCATGTCCCATTGATCTTAGATGTTTGTGGTCATGATTACTTTTTTTTTTTCTCCTTTATTGCTATCTGAATGTAACAATTACTCAATCTTGTCTTGTCCCTGATACTATTTCTTCTGCTGGTCTGGTCTATTGTAACCACAATACTGAGGTTACTTGATTTATTAAGGTTTTCATTTCCTAGATTTCTGTTTTGTTTTGGGTTGGAGAGGGTTGTTTTTTTCCTTCACAATCTCTTTTTGCAGAATTTCTTGTCTAAGATGTTGAATTTCTCATCCATATCTTGAATTGACTTCTTTATTTCATCTGTTTATTTGAATCCTCTTTGAGGTCATTGGTCATTTGGTGTTTCAGTCTTTTCAATATTTTTGTGTTCAGTTTATTGAAGAGATGTCAACTTTTTACGGAATCATGCTGCCTTTTCATATTTTTTGTGTTTCTCATTTGCAATTTGGACATCTGTTGGGATAAGTATCTGTTTTAGTTTTATCCAGAGCTCTTAGCTTTCTCTTGTGGGCTCAGTTCACAGTACCAGTCAGAGAGGAGAAAACAAATCACCATAACAGCAACCACACTGTTTCAGGCTGGTGCTGTATGCAGGCTGAGGGCTAGGCTGGTCAGTTGTTAGCTGTAGAGATGCATCCACTTCAGAAACTTCCCTTTGAATACTGGAGCCACTGCTAACCCCAAAAAGCTTTGCCTCCTATGAGCTGGGGAAGGTCCAACTCACTCCAAAGGTCCTCTAGTTTGTGCACCCAGGGGCAGCAAATGTCCAAGCCTAGAGGTGTCCCCTGAGTTCATTTGAGAATGGCAGAAGCAAATATATCATTAAAGTCTGTGCTGAAGGGGGAGTACTAAGGAAACCCAGCACTCCACCTGCCAGTCTAAGCACTTTCAGATCCTGCTTAGCAGTTAAACCACACTGCAGGAGAGAGGAGGCTGGGGGAATCAAGTTGATCCGGTGGATCTGAGCTCAGAGCTCTCAGTCCTACCTGGCGGCAAACCACATGCAGCAGGGAGGCAGCTCTGGAGGCCCATTAATGTGCTAGCCACTGGCTTGACTCAGAGCTCTGCAGTGATTTAGAGGTGGTGATTCACATTTCATGGCCTCAATTCCTTGCCTCAGACGGTGGGGCCACCGACCACAGCACCCTCTGCAGCCTGAGCTCCCTGCTATTTATACTTCTCAGCTGATCTGTGTCCCACCCTCCCCTTCCATGACTGCCTCTCCTGGCTGTCTCTTACGCATGCACTGTGGGAGGTTGTTCCCAGGCTCCCTGACTTGCAGTTCCTTATTTTCAGGTCTCCAGTGTAGCTCAGTCTCAAACAATAGGCCCACTCTCAAGATGATGCCTGGCTAAAGCTCTCCAAGATCTCGTAAGTGATAAAATGGATCTGTTCTCCATTGCTGGCCTGCCACAAGGGAGAAGTCATGACATACCAGATCCCCATGCTGGATTTAAGGCTGCAAGGACTGTGTGCTTATCTTGCAACTAAGACTGCCAGGCTTTTTCACTAGGGCTGCTTGGTTTACCTTGTGCTATGGTTTTGGCTTCCCCTCCTCACCTGGGAGCCAGTCTTGGAGCTATAGATTGTCTCCTACATTTCTCTGCATACCCTTTTTGTTTCTCCATGCTTTTCATCTGTCCTCTCACCATTTTTGTGATTCCTGATGTTCTCTTCGGAATACAGTCTGTCCTTTATTACCCTGACTCTTCTCAGACATGAAGTCTCACAAAGCTTCTAAACTGCTGTGGAAACACTTTTGTTTTTGATCTTTTGTTAAAAGCTGTTATACGTGTGGAATCTCCAAATTATTTATTTCATATTAATTCATTATTTCTTTTCTCAGCCCTTCAGTAATGAGGACAGTTGTGTCAAGTGTGAAATTTGTTCATTTTAAACAGATGTAGATATAGCATTAAAAATAGCTATTCAGGACTGAAGATATGTAGCTCAGTGGTAGAGCACTTGCCTAGCATGCTCAGTGTCCACCAAAAAAACAAAACCAAAACCTTTTTAGCAACATGCCAGTTTCTCTACTGGTGTTTTTTTTTTTTCCCCCTCTGTCTTGTCAGCTGTTTTACCTCCATTGTTATGCTTTAGCTATCACTGAAATACCACTTCCTCTGAAGTTCCCCTTAACCAATTCCTAGACAGTGGTTGGTATTCTTGCTGTGTACTCCCGTAACATTATGCTTCTTTTTCAAAGCAGTTTTCATGAGCATACTTTATTACACTTGTCTGTTGGAGTATAAATTGCATGTGGGAAAAGTGATATTTTGCTTATTTATAGCCCAGTGTCCAGCACAAGTTTGTATCTATGAGTAAATGGAAGAATTTATTGCTGTTTTTATTGATAAGATTTATAATGAATGATTTCTCCAACTAGTAAATGTTTTTCAGATTCATTCAGGATATGCTCTAAATAGAAATACAGATCATGCCAGGTGTGGTGGTTTACATCTGTAATTCCAACTACTTGGGAGATAGAGATTAGGAGGGTTGCAGTTTGAAGCTCAAGTGTTAGAGCACCTGGCTATCAAGTGTGAGGCCCCGAGTTCAAACCGCAGTACCACCAAGGAAAAAAAAAGAAAGAAACACAGATCAGTAAATTTTGCCTCCTTAGGGATTTTCTTGTGGGTCACTTCCTAAAACATGTGGTAACCTAAAATTGAGAGAGAAACTGAAGTTATACAGTAGATCATTTTAATTGCTTACCTAAATAATACATCTCTGTTAGATTGTTTGGCTAGAAAAGTAGAGAGTCGTAAGTTACTTTGAGATAAACTGCATGTATAATGACATGTTTTTCCCCCCCAAGCAGAAAGAGTTAATAAAGTTGGTGAGATCCACGTGAAAACATTAGAAGAAATTCTTCTTGAAAGAGCCAGTCAAAAACGTGGAGAACTGCAAACTAAACTCAAGACAGAAGGACCTTCAAAAGGTGATGATTCTACTTCAGGAACAAGAAGCTCCTCCACTGTCCGGATCAAAACCTTCTCTGAGGTCCTGGCTGAAAAAAAACACCGGCAGCAGGAAACCGAGAGACAAAAATGTAAAAAAGATGCTACTTGCATCAAGCTGAAGACTGATACTGAAATTAAAAAAACAGTGACATTGCCACCTGTAGTTGTCAGCAAAGGACAATCAGAGGAGCCTGCCGGAAGAACAAAGTCTATGCAGGAGGTGCACATTAAGACGCTGGAGGAAATTAAATTGGAGAAGGCACTGAGAGTGCAGCAGAGCTCTGAGAGCACCACCAGCTCCCAGCCGCAACCTGAGGCCACCCAAGGGGCCAGGCGGCTGCTCCGAATCACCAAAAAAACAGGTCTGTATTACTGCCTCCCCAAATAGTACTGCAAAGGCCAGTGTGCTACAGAATCTTCATAGACGTTCTTTGAGAATTTTTCTTTACTCAGGTAACTTTGAAAACCACTGGATTCAGTGATGGCAAGCTGTTTGTTTCCAGCTGCACCATATAGGCCTTTGGTATTTCTGTGTGTATTTGAGACCTTGTAGGACCAATTGCCTTTTTGTGATTTTTGTCAGGTTTTATTATTACTCTGATTGAGTTTTATTTAACTTCATCTCTCATGAAGTTGCAGCCTATTGAAATAATGAATGATGTTGTTAATGTGAATATAGGTGTGAAAGAAGAGAAGAAACTTCAAGAAGGAAGTGAAGTTGCTTCTCAGAGCAGCGTTTCTAGGACAGAGACTAATGAGGTAAGTATTCAAGATTATTGTGTACTTTTGTTCATGGTAAATGAAAGCTAGATGACTGGTAAGTGTACTTTTTAGTTTTAACTTATAGTAAACTTCTGTTAAGCCTTTCACTGATAATATTAGGTAAACAGTCTTTTCTCTGAGCTTAATATTTTAGGGTTTTTGTTTTTTTCTGTACTGGGGATTGAACTTGGCCTCTCTCAAACAACCCCCACCCCAACAGCTGGAGGTGTGGTAGTTTGTTTGTTTTGAGAGAGGGTCTCACCTATGTAGCTCAGGCTGGCCTTGAACTTTAGTCTGTCTGGCTCAGCCTCTCCAATGCTGAGGTTAGAGGTTTGTACCACCACACCCACCACTGTGCTTACAAAGTTTTCTTTGCCCTCATAATTTTTGTAATTGGCCATTAATGTTTTTTTAAACTTAGGTTTTTCCCTGCCTTTGAAAATAATGCTGCACATCATACAAAACTTGCAGAACTTTTCTTTCTTGACAGTACCAAGGTTTGAACCTCAGGGCCTCCCACTTGCTGGGCAGGTATTTTATCACTAGAGCCACTCCTCCAGCCCAGAACTTTATTTTTTTAAAAAATGAATAATGTTGGGTTTGGTGGTACACACCTGTAATCCTAGCACTCTAGAAGCTAAGGCAGGAGGGTTGTGAGATGTGGGTGAACCTTGGCTATACAATGAGACCCTGTCTTTAAATAATTTAAAAACAAAAATTGTGATTAAGGACTGGAGGTGTAATTCACGTGGTAGAGCACCTGCTTTGCAAGCACAAAGCAAAAAAAAAAGTGATTAAGTCAGGCAAAATGGTGCACCCCATAATCCCAACACTTAGGAGGCTGAGGCAGGAGGATTTGTAACTTTAAGACTAGCCTAGGCCATATATTGAAATCCTCTCTCTCAAAAAGTCCCAAAAAAGAGAGCAAGCCCTGTAATTCTTTGATGTGTATAACTGCTGTTAGTTTTTTTCAGGGATTTCCTTCACACTTTTTATTTATATATGCATTTATGTGAACCTATTTAGAACATAATTGAGAACTTTATAGCGTATCAATTTGTAGTCTGCTTTAACTTTACCAAATTAGTAATTCTTTAATATGTATGTTTTTATGACCACATAGTATTCTTTCTTTTTTCTTTTTTCTTTTTTTTTTTTTGGCAGTGTTGGAGTTTGGACACAGGGCCTTGTGCTTGCTAGGCAGTTGCTCTACCACTTGAGCCACTCTGCCAACCCTGTTTTTTTGTTTTGGATTTTTTGAGATAGGATCTCACGAACTATTTGCCTGGGCTGGCTTTGATCCAAAATCCTCCTGATCTCTGCCTCCTGAGTAGCTGGGATTATTGATGTGAGGTACCAGCACCAGGCTTACGTGTTATTCTAATGTGTGAATATAATCTGTTTCCGGACATGTAGGTTTTGTTTTACAGTTACTTAAGATAACGAATACCTTTGTGCATAAGTCTTTGTGTAAATGTCTGTTATTTAAGTCATTAGTATTTGCTTAGGGTCATGGTTGTAGCCTGTGGAATTTGCTTTAAATTGTTCCATACATCTTCAATTCTAATCTTTCATATTTAGAAGCACATTCTCTATTTAATATCAAATAATGAGCTTGCCCCCAGGTTCTGGACCATGTCATACTTTGGTTAACTTAGATGCTAGCCCAGTATTTTATAAATGATAACTATAGGGTATTAGAGATATTGGACTTTAATTCTGTCATTTAAATTTGTCCACAGGCTTCAGATGAGACTACAGGAATCAATGTCACTAAAGTTCCAGTCAAGAGCTGTGAGACCCTGAGAGAGAAGCACATGCAGAAACAGCAGGAGAGGGGCGCATCACAGAAGGAGAAGTTGGTCTTGACTCCGCTCCGGGAAGATGTAGCCTCTTATAGTGCCCTAGTGGTGGAGAACCCAGGGCTCGCTGCTGTGTCCGGCATCACGAGGCGCCTAACCAAGCGGCTTCCCACAAAGCCCTCCCAGAAGGGGACTGGGGATTCAGTACTGAACGTGAAATGTGCGGCACAGACCTTGGAAAAAAGGGGGAAAGGTGAGTGCTTTTGTCTTGTATCTTGCTTTAGGATATCAAAATTGCTGAGATTCACTAACTCCCTGGCAACAGTTGGGTTGAATTTCATTTGTCTTATGTACTGGTCCCTAAGGTAGTAATATTTCTGATAATAATACAAGGCTGGGTAAGGTGGTTCACATCTGTAATCCTAGGTACTTGGGAGGTTGAGATATGGAATACTGCAGTTTGAGGTCAACCCAGGCAAATAGTTTGTGAGCACCTCCAAAAAAACCAGAGCAAGATGAACTGGAGTGTGGCTTCAAGAGGTAGAGTGCCTGCTTTTGCAAGTGTGAAGCCCTGAATTCAAACCTCAGTCCCACAAAAAAAAAAAAAAAGACAAAACTAGATTAATTTCTTTCTTAGAATTAAAAATTGCTACTTTAATCAGTTTTGTCCAGCTGGGTTCCAGTGGCACATGCCCATAATTCTAGCTCCTCAGGAGGGTTGAGGTTCAAAGCCAGCTTGGGCAAATAGTTCAAGGAGACCATGTCTCAAAAATACCCAACACAAAAACAGGGCTGGCACAGTGGCTCAAGTGGCAGAGCACCTATGCCTGCCTAGCAAGCGTGAGGCCCTGAGTTCAAACCTCGGTAGCAGGCCGGGAGGCAGGGGGATATCCATCCATCTGTGTTAGATGTGGAGGGGGAGGAAAAAAAGCTTTATCTACAAGTTCAGAATGTTGTTGGTGCCTCTTTCCTCTGTTTCCTTTGAGACAGGGTCTTGCCATAGAGTCCAGCCTGACCTTGAACTCTTGGTCCTCCTGCCTCCTCTGTCTTCTCCAGTGCTGGGGTTACAGGCATGTGCCACCACACCCAGCTTTTCTTCTGGTTTTGAAAAAGACTTCAAGGAATAGAACAGTAACCAATTTAAGAATCAATTGGGGGTGGGGGGTATGTATATAAAATACCTGCAGTGCGTCATTTCCAGTCCGGGTTTGGTTTGTTTTTGTTTTTGTTTTTTTTTTCATTGTATTTCTAGTACAAAGAAATTTCGATACTTTATTCTCCCATCCAAATACTAACCAGGCCCGACCCTGCTTAGCTTCCGAGATCAGACGAGATCGGGCGCGTTCAGGGTGGTGTGGCCGTAGACTCGATACTTTATTCTAAATTATTTACGTGAGAAAGATTTTTCTGGCTATTAATAAGATGTTTTCTGTCCCATGTAGCTAAACCCAAAGTAAATGTGAAGCCATCTGTGGTCAAAGTTATTTCATCTCCCAAATTGGCCCCAAAACGTAAAGCAACGGAGCTGCACCCTGCTGTTATTGCAGCTGTGAAGCCACTCAGTTCCAGCACTGTCCTGCAGGAGAGCCCGCCCAAAAAAGCAGCAGTGGTGAGAAGTATCTTCGCTTCAGTGGTACTTTATTCTGTGTGGTAGGAAAAATAACCTCCATCCACTCTACGTCTGTATGTGTGTAACACTTCCTGCCATTTCCCAAGCATTTTGGTGGTTTAGGTTGTTACTGTATCTTTCATTTACATTTAGATATTTGAGAAGTGGCAGGACAGTATTTCTTAAAGCTTGTCTTTGGGTGGCAAGATGAAGTGATTGATAGCCATGATTCTAAGAAGGTAGCACAAGAAAATTAATCTGTTTAAATAAAAAAGCCTGACTTTCCCACTGAACTAATTTATTCTTCCTTTTGTAGGCTGTTATCCCACTCCTCTCTGAAGATACCATGCCTGAGACAGAAAACCCTAGAGACAGGTAATACCTTCTAATTCTTCTTAACCAAACTCCCACCTTACTGTTTTTATTTTGCTCTCTAGAGTAAACAGTGATAAAACAGCTTTGAACATTTGTAGTTTAACCACATTTGAGTAAATCTGCTGAACTCTTAACTTAATTACAAGCAAGCATGACATTCAGGACTGTTGTTTTCCTTGTTGCCGTTATTGATATTTTACCTACATTACCTAAAAGATGCTTTTAATATCTGGCGATATTATACTCTAAATTATGAAAATGCTTGGTCTTTAATTAATAAAACAACCCTTGAGACTATATGGTTCAACTAACCATGGATAAGGGCACAAGTAGTTCTGATAATCTTTCTCATTTCTTTCTTACAGTTTAGTGCTGCCTCCAACCCAGTCTTCTTCAGATCCCTCACCCCCTGAAGCATCTGGCCCTTCTTCATCCCAGGCATCCACGAAAACTCGCCGACTCAGCTCTGCCTCAACAGGAAAGCCCTCACTCTCTATGGAAGATGATTTTGAGAAACTAATATGGGAGATTTCAGGAGGGAAGTTAGAAGCTGAAATCGACCTAGATCCTGGGAAGGATGAAGATGACCTTCTGCTTGAGCTCTCAGAAATGATTGACAGCTGAAGGTGGTAGTAAGAACATTTAAAAAAAAAAAAAAAAAACCACACACACACACACCAAAAAACTGGACTTAGTTTCATCTATTATAACATTTACCTGAGATGATTATTTCTTTAGTCAAATTTGCCCCAAATCAGAAGTATACCTCTGAATTATCTGTATGTGTCCTGAATTCCACGGGGTCAGATTTTTTAGGTCCCTTAAATAACCATTTTGTCCATCTGATGACATTGTTTAGCATCTTTAAGAAAAAAGTTCTGTAATATCCTTCTCTCCACAGAAAAGAGACTGAGGGAGATCTGAATGAAAGAAGTGTAAGAGAACTTAGTGATTCCTTGAGGTGTCTGTCAGTTTTGGCTGTTTTCCCTTTGTTGTATTCTTTCTTTTATGTATTGTCTTAACATATTTAATATATCTGAGTTTGAAATGGATGAAGACAGCTGCTACCATTGTGGACCAAATTTCATGTTACCAGTGACAAAAATCCCACTCAGTCTGTGTTAAATTGTACGTCTTTTTAAAGGTGTTTGGAGATTCATCTAAGCTTTAAAGAGGGCTGAGCAACTCAAGAAACCTGAAATATGGACATAACTCTTTGGACCTGAGTTTGATGCTTCAGCTGCTCTGTAAGCCTCTGAAGAGCAATAGCTAATTTATTATTACTGTAATTTTTTTAAAAGGCTTTAAAGTGCCTCTGGGGATCCCTGAAACTAATTTTCTATTTCTGGGATTTCCTGGATTCTTTATAAGAGATGGTGACATGTTTAGAGGAATTCTTTTTTAGTATGAAAGTTGTCCCTTCTCTTTAATACTTGCCTGCTTACTGGCATTGAATTAATAATTTTTTTATTTCTAAGTCTCTGAGAAAACTCCTCTTGCCCAGTATTTATTTGGTGCCCTTTTAGCCACAAGAGGAGAAAGAAAAAAAAAAAAAAAAAAAAAGAACTCATTCAAGCTGCCAATATTGATCTATGGACCGTAGCAGTACACTGACTTGTACTGGAGCAGGGATGTTGAGATGCTCTGGGGGTGTATTGTATACCTTCCAGTTTTCTTCATTTCTGAATTGAATTTTATTTTCTTGATGTTGGTCTCCTTCATATCACCTCAAGGTTTAGACTTGAGAAGGAACCAGTATGATGGGGTAATAGTCCTGAAAGGAGACATATTGTACATAATCAGAAGGAGGAGGAAAGAAGAACTTGCCCATTTTGATATTTTGCTGTAGGTGGCCAGTTTTGTTTCTCATGGGGAAATCTGAACCACCGGTCAATGTTGGCTCCTAAGGAACTGCTGTTGTAAGCGGCTCAGCAAGAGTTGAACTTCATGTAACCTTGTTGGGAAAATGGAAAAGGAAGAAAGCCACAGGACTGCTCATTCAGTCTTGGGACGATCTGGATGATTCTGCACAAGCAAAAATGACTTGAAATTTATGTATAGATACACCTCTACCAATCCATCTTCAGCTGACTGAATGTTGTATGATAGCCCTTCTCCAAAGCAGGGGTGGAATGTTCTGGTTTCACCACAGATTTTATAAACTCATTTCATTTTTGGAACCAGCCTACAGATTCCAGGTCCCTTTTGTATATAACCTTTATGCTTTTGTTTTTTTAAAAAATAATTTTGTTTCATATTTAAAGCCCTTGTATTAGTCAGTGATTCATGTTCAGCATTATTTGAACCATTTGCCATTACAGAAAGAGAAATACTTATTTGTGTTTTAAATAAAACTGGTGTAGGAAAGTCTTGATGTTGTGAATTAAGTAGTTTTATATTACTTCAGTCTTGATCTGCCTTGACAAGAGGCCCTAGTCACAGTGTTGTCGGCCTTTTGTGTAAGGGCCCCGATTTCTGTTTGGCTTTAGAAACCTTTCAGAAGAATAGATTGCCAAACAAGACCCTCAGATGTGCTCAGTTTTAGCTGCTATGCTTAGGTAAGAGTATGTATCACATGTGATCATTTTTTCCTAACACTAACACTCCTTATCATTGTAACAGTTGATGTCATTGATTTTTTTTTTTTTTTTTAAAGGAAGGAGGGTTTAAAAGTGACCTCTTTCACTTTATTTTTTTGGTGGTACTTGGGGTTTGAAGGTTTGAGCTCAGCCCTGTGCTTTGTAAGCAAGTGCTCTGTGACTTCAGTCACGTCCCTGGCTAAAAGTGATCTGACAGGACTGGCAGAGTAGCTCAAGTGATAGAGTGCCTGTAACTAGCAAGTGTGGGGCCCCAAGTTCAAACCTCAGTACCACTAAAAAAAATTTTTTTTTTAATTCAGGTGAGTACAGGTTTTTCCAATGTGTGTATCAACGTTTTATTTTGAGAATACAGATTAATTTGCTAACAAAGAACGTAGGTCTTTCCTATTAGTAGTTTAATAGCCCTGGGCTGGGAATGTAGCTTGCTGGTGTATCATGTGCCTACTGTGCATGAGGCCTGGTGCCTAGGTTTCAACTCCCAGTGTTGGGAGTAGAAAAAAGTCCCAAGGTACATCAACTGTTCACACACACCCAAAAGAAAACATTTTTAACAGCAAGAAAGGAGCCCAAATTTACAGTGTGGCCATATTAGAAATATCAAGAGGGGCTGGTGGAGTGGCTCAAGCCATAGAGTACCTGCCTAGCAAGTGTGAGGCCCTGAGTTCAAACCCCAGTTAACTGCCAAGATAGATACACACACAACAGAGATAGTTTTGTAACTCATTTATCTCAAGATTATTATCTACAAAGTTCTGACCTTAATACTAACACATTCTCATTTTGACCAGTCTTCGGAACTACCATTAAGATTAATGTTGCAGAATGCAGTGGCTCACCCTGTAGACCACCTACTCTAGAGGCAGAGAACAGAAGGGAAGTTGGAAATCTGAGGCCGACCCCAGGCTGAGGGCATGGCTCAAGTGGTAGAACACCTGCCTAGCAAGCTTGAGCCCTGAGTTCAAGCCCAGTACAAACAAGCAAGGTAGGATTAATGTTAATTTAACACAAAGCTTGATTTATATTGATCAAGGTTCTATGGTTCTTTTAAAATTGTGGCTGCTTTTGCCAGAATAATTCTGTAGTTCTTTTGAAGTGTTTGATTGAATGTGGCAGTTTAGCAACAGGAAATACATGATCTCTATGTAACTACTTAATAGGTGATACTTTAAACTAATGTTTGCTGAGCATTTAATTCACAGATCTATTTTGGCACTAAATCCTACACTCCGTGGAAAGATCACTGCTTTATCACCACTGTAGTTTCAAGGTCTGTGTTCAGATTTAACTGTAAGAAAGTAAATATTCCTAAGTGCCATTGCCTTTAAGTAGTTGAGGTTTTTTTGTTTGTTTGTTGAGGGTTTTTTTTTTTTTTTCTGAACTGGGGTTTGAACTTGTCTTCACACTTGCTAGGCCCTTGAGACACTCTGCAAGCCTTTTTTTGTTTTGTTTTGTTTTGGGGTATTTTTGAGCTAGGGTTTCACTTTTTGCCTAAGGCTGGCTCAAACTGTGATCCTCCTGATCTCTGCCTCTCCAGTAGTAGCTAGGATTACAGGCATGAGCCACTGGTGACCCAGGGTTAGCTGAGTTTTTAGAGGCTTTTTTTTCTCAATCTGGTTTTGGGAAGCTGCTCATGTCTTTGAAAAGTTCCTACAACCCAGACATCCAAATGCATTAATAACTCTCCAAACTGCAATTTATTTTTAATTTGCAAACTAATATTAATAGGCATGAGCGGAAAGGAGAAATGCTTGATGTCGATCATTTTCTTAAAATGGGCAAAAAATAAGTGATGACTCAAGAACAGCAATCTAGGATTTTTCATTTTGTAAAACTTTAGAATTCAGATTTACTGAATGGACCTAATAGCCATTTAGATGTGGTTGGATTTAACAGCTAAAATGTTGAACAGGGACGCTGTAGCAATATGCAAAGAGCAGTGAACTAAAACTGGATATTGTCCTGTCCCTGATCTTCTGATCTTGGACTCTGACTGATTTGTCTTCAAAAAGGAGCAAAGCAATGACCTTTTGATCTAACAGCACTAAGAGCATTGGTAAGCAGAACTAGGGTATGATTCAAGAGAATACATAATGCTCAAAAACCAAAAAGACTTCTGTGAGAGATAGGGAAGTGGATGGATTAAGAACATTCAAAAGGAACAACCACCAAAAAAAAAAAAAAACATTTTTTTTGAGAAGGAAGCAAGATGGAAAGAACTCTTACCTGATAATGTAGATGTGATTGACGAGGTCACTCTTGGATCAGTCACATTTAGGAACACTCCCAAGAGAAAGTGTTTAAATTTGTTGGCATTAGCTGCCAAAGAGCATTTTGGATTCCCACGCTTAAAAGCAGCCCGGATTACAAAACTGGCCGTTAGGGACAGATGGATATAAGCCAAATTCCTGCTCTTGTGAAGTACTTGATTCTAAAAGTAACAGGAGTGAAATAGGTCTTAAGTATTAAGTGAACAATACTATAGACAAAATGAGTTTGAGATTGGTGAGGGTAGAGCTGGTTGGAGTTTTTTCATTTTTTGTTTTTGTTTTTTGCTGTACTAGGCTTTGAACTCAGGGCCTCCACCTTGAGCCACCCCACCAGCCTTTTTTGTGATGGGTTTTTTGAGATAGGGTCTTGCAAGCTATTTGCCCAGGATGGCTTTGAACCATGATCCTCCTGATCTCTGCCTCCTGAGTAGCTAGGATTACAGGCGTGAGTCACTGGCACCTGACAAATGACCTTTTCTGTTTTATTTATTTTTTGGTGGTACTGGGGTTTGAACTTAGGGCCTCATGTTTTTACCACTTGAGCCACTCCTCCAGCCTCTGGATAGAGTTTTGAGGAGCTATGAAGAGATGATTTGAGCAATAACCAATTAAGTAGGTTATTTAAATACAAGTTTATTATTTAAATACAAGTTTTTCTGCTTCATAAAATCTTTTAATATCTTCTGTTTCCCTCCAAAATTACAATTAAATCCAAGTTCCTTGTTAGCATAGCATGTCAGTCCTTTTCCTCCCAGCTTCCTGTCCCGCCATTCACCATGTTCTCTACTGGCGGTCAGTTTTCCCCACAGTCCTGTCTTTCTCCTCCCTAAAACTCTTCCTCTTTTTTGAATAAGTTCTGCGTACCCTGTGACCTCCAGGCTGCCTCTTCCAACACCCTCCTCTTCCCAAACAGGTTCAAGTATGTGCCACCAGACATATACTCTGTTTACCCCTTGTTTAAAATTACCTATAGTGCTCGGCTCCTTTGCATAACCAACACCATTGTCTCCCCTTTTAATGGCATCCTAATACATCTTTGCTTTCTCCTAAAAAAAAAAAACAAAAACTTTACATCTTCTCTAGCAGAGTATACACTTTTACCTTTATATTCTCAGGATCTAACACAGACTCGACAGGCAGCATGGACTGCTATAACAAAATACCACAGACTGAGTGACTAATAACTTCTTAATGGTTGTGGAAGCTTTAAGCCCCAGCTCCAGGTGCTGGTAGTTGGGTTTCCAGTGAAGCCCTCTTCCTGCCTTTCTACCAGGCACAGTGGCTCATTCCCCTCATGTGACCTTAATTACCTCTTGAAAAGCTCTGTCTACAAATACTGTCAGTTCTGAAGTACTGAGGGGCCTAGAGGCTCGGCAGATGAATTTTGGGGAATACCATTCAGCCCATAACAGGAGGCATTTAATAAATATTTGCTGAATGAATGAAAAGTTTCTTGACCCGTTTCAAGAGAGGCTGATCTTTGCTAGGTTGCCCCTGACACACTCCTCCCGGCCCCGTTCTTGTCATGCTTACAGCCATCCAGCCAGCTGTGAGGCTTCTGGTTGAGATGGAAGGAACTTTGAGCTGAGCAGAGAAGGTTCTTAAATATTTGGGAAGTCTGAAGTGGACTCTTTCCTCAGGAATATTTCTCTTCTAGCCAGTGCTTCTCAAGTCTATTCCATACAGACTGTGGGAAGCATGAAAATCTCAAGTTTTATGTGAACACCATGATTAGGTGCAATAAAAACAAAGGAAGCAAATGTTTCATTGTAGTTTCCACTGTTGAACAAATTCATTGAATTGGTGATATATTCATTCATATATCAAGAAATACACTGTCACACTTCCAAACAGTATTATGTGTAAAACACATAACAAGCTCGTTGGGTATGGCACTGTACATCTGTAATCCCAGCACATGGGAGCCAGTAGGATCACAAACCACAAACTCGAGAGCAGCCTGGGCTACAAAGTGAGATCCTGTCTTTAAAAAAAAAAAAAAAACCATATGGCCTATCCCTTCCTCTTGCTTGTATTTACAAGAGGAGAATATTGTAATAAATCCCATGTAGTTACCCAGCTTCAACAATTAGAAATTCAAGACCAATCTTGTTTCCTCTGTATGCATCCAACTGTTTGCCCCTGGGTTGTGGCTGGGGGTGCTGTGTGTGTGTGTATGTGTGTGTGTGTGTGTGTGTGTGTGTTACTAGGATCGAATCCAGGGCTAGGCAAGCACTCTTACTACTGAGCTACATCCTCAGCCAACAGCATTCTTTTTAAGAAGTTCTTTACAAGCCGGTCCCTGTGGTTCAAGCCTATAATCCTAGCTACTTGGGAGGCAGAGATCAGCAAACTCGTTCAACTCCAGCCCAGACCCTAGGTTCAAGAGACCCTATCTTGAAAATACCCAACACAAAAAAAGGGCTGGTGGAATGGCTCAAGTGGTAGTGTGCCTGCCTAGCAAGTGAGAAGCCCTGAGTTCAAAGCAAAAAAAAGTTCTTTATATATTAGTAAATGAGTCATTTGTATGATATGGTACAATTTTTTTCAAATCTTGACTTTATTACAGTCTTTTTTTTTTTTTTTTGGTAGGACTGAGGTTTGAACTCATGGCTTCATGCTTGCAAAGCAGGCGCTCTACTGCTTGAGCCACACCTCCAGTCATTTTGTTCTGATTATTTTGGAGATGGGGGGGTCTCACTTAGGGTCACTTTTTAGTCATGCAAAATTTTATCATTTTTATGTAGTTGAATTTATTATTCCTTTTCTTCTAAAAACCAGCAAGAACATAAAATTGAGGAAAAGACACAATTTTTAAGAACGACAGATTTCTAGGCTTAAACTTAAAATTTCTAGGGTTAAATTTTTTTTTTCAGTACTCAATTTTGAACTCAGGGCCTTCATCTTGAGCCACTCCACCAGCACTTTTTTGTGATGGGTATTTTTAAGATAGGGTCTTGTAAACTATTTTGGGCGGGCTTTGAACTTTAGTCCTCCTGATCTCTGCCTCCTGAGTAGCTAGGATTATAAGCTTGAGCCACCAGCACCCAGTTTAGGCTTAAATTTATATAGGGTGTGTATAAAGAAAAACACATTTCTGAGAGATTAAAAACATTTTTTCAGTGCTGGGGATCAAACCTAGGGTCACATGCATAGTAGATAAAAACTCTACTGCCACTGAGCTAAACTCCAAATCCACATAACTTGATTAAAAATTTATACAAGAGGCTATGGTGGTGCACACTTGTAATCTCAGATACACAGAATGCATAGGTAGGAAGATACCCATTTGAGGCTCCATCCAAAAAAAAAAAATAAAAAGCAAAAAATGCTGGGGACATGGCTCAAGTGGTAGAGCACCTGCCTAGCAAGCAGGAGGCCCAGAATTCAACCCCACTACCACCAAAAACCAAACAAACATATAATCACAGTAAAAATTCCAAAAGGATTTTTAAAAATTAGATCGTATTATTCTAAAGTTTGTATGAAAAATAAAAATAGGAAAATTCTACCTACCTCTACTCCTGTCAGATAAAAAATCATAAAGCTAGACTATAACCGTGATACAGATGTAGTAATTAAACAAGGAGTTAGTTATGAAACCTGATGGCTGAGAATGGTGGCTTGGATGTTGATTTAAAAAAAAGTCATGTCCTGGCCTGCTGATGTTAATAGAAGAACTTGTGACAAATAGTTCATTTATCTATTTCTCCAGGACTGACCACCCCCATGTCTGTGAACCCCAATAAAAGATTGAGGTCTTGGGACCTCCAGTGCAGTGCTCCTTTGTGTGTGTGTGTGTGTGTGTGTGTGTGTGGTTCTGGGGTTTGAACTTAGGGCTTCACATTTGCTAGGCAGGCGGTCTACCACTTGAGCCACTTCACCATTTACAAGGGTCTTGTGAACTATTTACCTGGGCTGGCTTCAAATTTCGATCCTTGTGATCTCTGCCTCCTGAGTAGCTAGGGATCACAGACATGCGTTACCAGCACTAGGCAGCAGGACTCCTTCTTAAGCCTGCCCACTCTCCCATCTGGAGAGTTCACTTTCATTTTTCTTGCACTTTGCTTTACATTAATAAACTTACTCCTTCTTAAATCTCTTCTGTGTCCATCCCTGAATCCTTTCAATGATGAGATCAAGGACCTATGGCCCCCAGACCAGGTGACCTGAATCTGGTGACCATGCCAGTCCATAAATAGACACAAAAGTCAACTGGACAAAATATAAATGATACATTCAGGTGCACACACATATACATGTACACTTGGTATATTATAGATGTGGCATTCCAGAGTAAACAGAGAGCAATGGAGTTTTGTTTTGTTAGGAGTTCTGATAATAAACTAGGTAGCCACCTGGAAATTATAAGGGCTGGAGGTAGCCACCTAGAAATAATCAAGTGTTAGAGTACCTACCTGCCTAGCAAGTGCAAGTCCCTGACTTAAGATCCCAGTATTGCAAAAAACAAAACAAAAAAACCCAATGATTACATAGATATTATAAAGATGTAATCAGCCCCAGTATACATGAGGATTAATGTTAAAAAGCAAAATTAATTTTTTTGGCAGTACTGGGTTTGAATTCAGGGCCTCATGCTTGCTAAGCAGGTGCTCTACCACTTGAGCCACTCTGAGCAAAGCAAAATAATTTTTTTTAAAAAAGAAGGAAACCACATAGCACTTCTGATGAGCGAAAGGATCAGTTACAGGAATCAACTCATAAGTTCAGAAATCATGACTAAACAACAGGAAAATGCAGAAGCAAACAGCTAAGCAGTTATGCATCTGAGATGAAATGGGCACACCAATGTGTCTATTCCTGCCATCTTCTGAGTTAGCAAATCCATCTCCGTGCACTGAAGCTATTGGATTTGGAGTGGGGAACATTTTCTTTTGGTGGGACTGGGGTTTGAACTCAGGGCTTCCCACTTGCAAAGAAGGTGCTCTACCACCTGAGCCACACTCTAGTCCATTTGCTCTGCTTATTTTGGAGACAGGGTCTCATGAACTATTTGCCCCAGCTGACCTCAAACCACGATCCTCCCGATCTCAGCCTCCCAACTAGCTAGGATTACAGGGCACCTGGCTCTGGGGAAAAAAAATTTAAAGAAATACTTATTTCACGCATTTTAAAAAGCTTTTTGTAGTTTAAAAATAACTTTCATCTCAATGCCTTTTGTTGTTGTTGTTGTACTTTGTTTTTTCTGGTACTAGGAATTCAACCCAGGGCCTCTCTCATGCTGTGAAAGTGCTTTACCACTGAGCTATGCCCCCAATCCTCAATACCTTTAAAAAGTTGGCATTGATGTTATTCCCGTTCAAAAGAAGACTTTAGTTAAACAAATTTTGATTCTACTATTTGCCCTAAGTGGTGTCAATCTTAGGTAAGACCCTTCAATTCTGGGCTTCAGTTTTCTCATCCATAAAGGCTCCTCGGCGCCTCCTCACACCTCCCTACAGGTGGCGCTGTAGGATCGACGCTGGTTCCCAAATTGCCTTGGTTTGGCCGCCCCCGGATGCTAAGAAGCACAGAGAAAAGCGACTCTGTTCGCTAGAGAGGCATTTCCTTAGGCACCACCTAGGTCGCCGCCAGAGCGCACACACTTCCGCTTCCGGTTCGTAATTCCGGAAGTTGCCTTCTGAGGTGGCGTGCAAGTCCGGCGTGGTCTTTGTGAGATTCCACTATGGCGTACCGAGGCCAGGGCCAAAAGGTGCAGAAAGTGATGGTGCAGCCCATCGTATCCTATGCGACATGTTGGGACTGGGAGGTTTGGACCAGAAAACAGGTGGAAACGCAGGCGGACAGCAGGCCAAAGGGAGCGGAGTGCGGGCCCACATCCCATGAGCCCTCGGGGCGGCAGAGCCCGGGGGAAAGCGCGGGTAGTTGAAGAACGGGTGATAACGCAGGGATGGCGGGGTGAGCGGAGGGAAGCCAACTTGAAGAAGCTAAGTGGACGCGGGAGTTAGTGGCCTAGGGGAGAAGGAGAAGCGGCAGCAGGGAGGTTCCGGGGGAGTAAGACAGCGGGAAGAGGGTGCGTCTGGGTCTCTAGGGCGCCCCCAGTGAGCGCCCACGGGAGCGTTTTCCTTGCATGCCCCGCAGATCTCGCCCTCGGAGATAAAGTTTGGTGAGGGTTGGGTGGATCCTCAGGTTATCGAGCAGAGTCTGTGCTGTTTGTGTATTTTTTTCCCTTAACCACAATGGTGCAGAACCTCATCTTCAGATACTTGCAAAATGTGCGTAAGTTTGTTGTTAATCGTTTCCTTACTTCTACCTAAGCAAAATTTTTGTTTATTTGGCTCTTTGCCAACTTCCCTGGCGGTTGATGAGACTTAGGAGGTTGGAGGGGAAGGGTTGCAGGGAAAAGCTCACGTGACAATGGTGTGCACCTGTGCAGACTTCAAACGTGCAAAAAAAAATTGTGCCGTCATGATTACTTTGTGACGTCAGAGTTCCTAATTTCGCAGTGTGTGTGTTGGCAGACGTGACAGTGGTGTTTGGGCATTTGGTACTTTTGTTGTTGGACTTCCCAGTTCCATCCTCTAGAATGAAACACAGAGAGAAACCCTCAAACTAGGACATAAGGTACTGTGTTTAGTACCTTTAGAAAACTTAAATGAAGAAAAGACACTTACAAAAAAAAAAAAGTGAGCAGTAGATTCCCAGGAGTTAGTGGCACTGCTCTTCTTTGGAGGGATTTTTAGCAACTTAAATTTTAGAGTGTGACAAACAATACAATTGAAAAGTAGATCAATTTTAAGCTATCAGCTTTTTAATTACCAGAGTTGAGCGTCCTTCCCCTGTTACATGGAAAACTGAGAACCTAAGAACACCTGTTTTGGACCTGGATTTTGCTACAGCAGATAAGAATGAAACCCCTGCTCAATAGAAATTACCGTTTTGTGCTATGCTGTTCCCAGTTTTCACTCTGATGTACTGAGAATAAATGAGAAATACGATTTAAGTCCCGAGATCTCAGAAAAAATAGTAGTTTGGATATTACAATATAACATTATCAAATGAAAATGTTTCTTAAAGTAACCAGCTTTGGTTACCAATTCTTAGATGTGGGTTAATTATATGTTTCTTGGCGTATAAATTCCTTAAGCTTTTAAAGTTTTTTCAAATTAGCACACATACCCGTCTAGGGGGTTTCATTGTGATATTTCCATAGATAGACGGTGTAGTTCGAACAAGCTTACCCCTGCATATTTCCTTAACCTCCCTCCCTTCTCCGTTTTTTAAACAGTGTTTGGTGTGTTGTCCTGTCTTTTCTATCTCTGCCTGTCTAACGAACTTTGATGACCCTCTCATTAAGTTTTTTTAAGGAGTCATTTCTCTATTGTTTGATCAAAGTAATTAGGGTTTGTTTACTTTTTGAAAACATTTCTATTTTTGTGATTATTTCAGAGATCTCGGATTCAGGTGTGGCTCTATGAGCAAGTGAATATGCGGATAGAAGGCTGTATTATTGTGAGTACCCAGGCTATCTTTCATAGAGCAGTTTGTTATTAGAAAAAGAGTTCACAGAAAATGATGAGCCAGAGTGATAATCAAGAAGCCAAAGACCTAACCAGTCCAAGGAAAGCTTTCTCAGAGTTCACTTTTTAGCCTTTTCTCCTTGTTCTGGTTGATATGGGTTAGATAATAATAGGGCTGGTGGAGTGGCTCAAGTGGTAGAATGCCTGCCTAGCAAGCACGAGGCCCTGAGTTCAAGCCCCAGTTCCACCAAAAATAAAAAAATAAATAAAAATAATTTAAACTGGCTGCCGGAATGACTCAAATGGTAGAGTGGGTGCCTGGCAAGCATGAGGCCCTGAGTTCAAACCCTAATACTGCCAAATAAAAAGTAATTTAAACAACCATATTAGTGTTTGAGCGAGGGAACAAAACCGGAATTGGGAGGATGAGGGGACTAGTGGAGTGTTTTCATTCTGGGTTAGTTGATACTTTAATAGAACTGGTGGGGTTAAATAAGACTTACAGGATAACAGGATACCTTAAGCAGTGTTTTTGTTTGTTTGTTTGTTGTTGGTTTTGGGGATCAAACCCAGGGCCTCTTACATGCTGAGCACTTGTTCTACTACTGAACTATATCCCCTAGCCCCACCCTAATATTTTTGTTGTTGTTTAAAAAAATGATTTTTTGGTTTTGGTTCTTTTTTTTTGGTGGAATTGAGGTTTGAACTCGGGGCTTTGCACTTGCAAACCAGGTGCTCTACCATTTGAGCCACACTCCAGTCCATTTTGCTCTGGTTATTTTTGGAGATGAGGTCTCAAGAACTATTTGGCAAGACTGGCCTTGAACTGAAATCCTCCCATTCTTAGCCTCCCAAGTAGGTGAGATTATAGGTGTGAGCCATTGGTGGCCAGCTTGTTTTTGGTTTTTGAGACAGGGTCTTGCTGTGTAGACCAGGCTGGCCTTGAAGTTGTAATTGATCTCCTTTGTAAGCCTCCTGAGTGCTAGGATAACAGGCATGCACCACCATGCCCTGCCCCAGTAATGTTTTGAAGAAAAATAAAATACAGCTAGAAGTATTAGGTTAGAACATTTTGGTATTCTGTGTAAGAATCAGAGATTCCATAATAATTCCCCCTTGTTTAGCAGTTGGAAAACAAGCATAGTAATTTGTGGTAATAGTGTTTATAGGGAACAAGGGTAGGGCAGTAGTAGTGGAAAGCAATTAATACGTTTGCACACATACTCTGTTTTGGACACTTTATAAATAGAATTTCATTAGATATGCCATTATCCCTAAGTCCAAAAGGTTGAAGTCATTTGGACCACATTCTGGCTTTCTTTGTTACTGAAAAAAGAGGCTTTAGGTGTTCAGCTGAAAACACCTAAATCAGTAGAAAGATGAATTTCTAAAGTTGGTTGGCATTTCTCTTACCTAGTTAGATAATCTTTTAGAATGGTTTGGATTTGGTTTTACTTGAAAATGACTGTAGCTAATTTACTTTTCTAGGGTTTTGATGAGTACATGAACCTTGTGTTAGATGATGCAGAAGAAATTCATTCAAAAACAAAGTCAAGAAAACAACTGGGTAAGAATGTAGTTGGCCTTACAGAATTCTAGAAGTGTTTATTTTACTGGAAGAACTCATTGACCTGCAGCTCAACTCATGTTTAAATTTAGTTTGCATTTGAGAAGTTAACTTTTGGAGGGTCCACTTGGTTTTGTTTGTTTGTTTGTTTGTTTGTTGTGACTAGGGTTTGAACTCAAGACTTCACACTTGCAAAGCAGACATTCTGCCGCTTGAGCCACACCTCCAGTCCATTTTGCTCTAGTTTTTTTGGAGATGTAGTCTCATGAACTATTTGCCCCAGCTGGCTTCAAACCTTGATTCTCCTGATCTCCACCTCCCAAGTAGCTAGGATTACAGGTGGAGCCAGTGGTGCCCAGCTGAGAATTACACTTTTGAAGTATTCTTTTCTGCTTAGTCCTTACCCACACTCCTTTTCTGCTTCTCACTTTCTACCCAGATAACTCTTCAAAATCACCAAAGACTTATGGTGTTAAGTCTAATGGTCAGTGTTCATTTTACTTAATTCAACAGAATTTGACACTATTTCCCATTTCCTCCTTAAAAGCTCTTGATCCGTTGGCTCTGTGACACCATTTGCAGATTTTTTTTTTCACTTTTCATTCTTTTTCAGGCTTTTGTATGGTCATTCTTTGAGACCCAGCCATTAAATATTTTGAGTTGCTCAAGGCTTGGTTTCAGTCCTGCTTTCACTCAGTATTTGCCTAGGCATTCCACACCACACCTTCAGTTACAATCTATATACTGATTCCCATATTTACTTCTGCAGCCCCGACCTCTCTGTTGGGCCTACTCAGCATTTCTCTGTGAAGACTTCATAAGGCTCATCCAAGTCAAACGTTAGAAGTCAATTTCACTTTCTACTTATAAACTGTTTAGAGCTATTTTTGTGTTCATTGCTTACAGAATGGCACCAGTAAACATTTGATGTACTTACTGATTTCTTTGTAGTTCCTTCATTCCCCTCCAGGTGCTCTCCAGGCTTCAGTCTTTTTAAAAATACCTGTCTGACCTGTCATCCCTTTGCTTGAAATTCTTACTGTCTGTCTGTTGTTCTTATGATAAAACAAAAAGCCTTCATGTATTCTGCAAGGTCCTTCGTGATCTGGCCTTTTCTCCCTCTGTTCATCTTGTCTCACACTGTATTATTTTCTGAACTTTAGCCACACCTGTCTTTTGATTCTTTGAACCCGCACATTTGCCCCACCATATTTTTGGAATTTTTAAGAAACCTGGAGTTTAATTTGGTTTTGCTTGAGGTGGAAGACAAGGTATGATGTGTTGAGTTTGTATTCATTACTGGGTTTATTTTATTAATGCTTTGCCACACAGGAGAAAAGCATTTTCAAAAGACAGTTATGTCTTAATAAATAGCTTTTTTTTGTTGTTGCAGGTCGGATCATGCTAAAAGGAGATAATATCACTCTGCTACAAAGTGTCTCCAACTAGAATTGATGAGTGAAGTGACAGTGACAACTTGTTAAGAATACTATACAGTTTTTTTTTAATGATTTTTGTTGGACATACAGCCCTAAAACATGTTCTTACTGTTTTTTGTTGAGACCTCACTGTGTATACAGTTTTCTTCACCCTTATGTTATTATCAAATGACAATAAATACATTGTTTCTTTGTATACAGTGGTAAAGATCTTTTACACAATGGCATTTGCAGCTGATGGTATTTATTTTAAAAGTTTCTGAAGGGTTGGCAGTTGCCCTGGCAGGGCATTTGCTTTTCTCAGAGCATGAACCTATATATTTTAAGGCAAAGAGTTAAGAATTCTACCTGACAGGTAAGCTTCCAGTATTGGTGGCAGAAAAAAATGCTCACAAAAATAAAGAAGGGTTTTACCCTAATGTTTTCGTCAGTTGTAATTCTTGGAACTGGGGGTGTCATTTATTGTAAGTACTTGCGTAGCACATACAAGATCCTGGGGAAGGTCCCCAACACATCAGGGGAAAAAAAAAATCTGGGTGCTAGAACCTCAGATTTTCTAACTAAAATAATAGATTGAGGTCATTTTATTTTAATAGTTTCATTATTTGCTTAGCACTCACTGCTACACCATGAGATCTTGAGAATTTTATCACTAAGATCAGAATGTGAGGTGCTGAGTGATTTAGCTCAGTTGTAGCACTTGCCTACGTCCAAGACATGGGGTTCAGTCCCCAGCACCTAAAAAAATGTGAGAAGTCAAACCTGGTATGACATACCTATAATGCCAGCACTTAAGCTGAGGCAGGAGGATCTCAAGTCCAGGGCCACTCTGGGACACATAGGCAAGAGTGCCTTGAAAGTACACTCAAGAGCTCTGTTAGAACAGGAAGGTGACTGAGGTCGGAGAAACACCGTCTCATTTCTAAGGGTTTGGTCTGTCACCATTGTCTTGTCCCATCCCCCCTTCTCTCGGCTGTGATTGTGTATTAACTTACAGGCACGGGCAGAGTTCTGTAAGTTTTTGACAATCTGCTGTGATAGGCACAAAGTAGAGTAAATACTGTGAATAAATGGATAGCTTTTGGATTTTTGGTTGGTTGGTTTTCTTTTTCTTTGAGACATGGTGTCACTGTAACCCAAGCTGTACTGGAACTTTCAGTTCTCAATCCTCCTGCCTCAACCTCCTGAGCACTGGGATTATAGGGATGCTCTACCATGCCCAACCTAACACTGGTTTGGTTTTTTCTTTGGTGGGTGGTACTGGGGGGGGGGTTGAACTGTTGAGCTCAGGGCATTGGGATTGCTAGACATCATGTGCTCTACACTTGAGCCATTCCACCGGCCCTTTTTGTGTTATCCTTTAGGGTCTTGCTTTATGCCCCATACTGGCCTGAGCTGTGATCCTCCTAATTTGTGCTTCCTCATGTGGCTGAGGATGACAGGCATGTACTGTTGCACCAAGCCATTGGTTGAGATGGGGTCTCATAAACTTTTGTCCAAGCTAGCCTCCAACTGCAATCCTGATCACCTCCCAAGTAGCTACTAGTTCAGGCTTGTGCCACTGTGCCTAGCCTAACAGTTCTAATACTTGTAGTACTATTTTAATTGTATATTGAAAGATGAATAAGGCCTGTCTTGTTTTTCTGGAGATCAAACCCAGGTCCTTGAGCATGCTAAGCAAGTGTTCTACCACTGAGCTGCAGCCCCAGCCTCAAAGTCTATTGTAAATTCTGCTAAAGGCAGTGTCAAAGGGGCTGGGAAATGTAAAGCACTTTGCTCAAATGCTCGAGGCCCTGAGTTTTGCTTCACCACAAAACAAAAACAGTGGATGGGGACAACTGAGACGTCCAGCTCCTGCTTTTCTAAATGCCTGTAAGAGAGATAAGAAACCTTTCATTAACCTCAATGGAAGAAACCCTTTCTGAGATAGAGATTTGTAGGTGAATGTAGAAATCAATCCATCTTAGAACTCTGCATTCTTGGTACAGTCGTGCCTTCATTTTGTAAAAGGACTGCTTTAGCTCTTAACATATTTGAAATTTCCTAGACTGTCTACAGCTCGCAAAGAAAATACTGGGCAGTAGAGGGAGTTGCAGCCCTGAGACTGCTTCAGGCCTGTGGTGAAAAGACTGAAGTTTTTTCAGAGCAGAGCAAAGACCTCCCTGTAGCTTTCTTGGCACCAGAATAGCTTGGAAGAAGGATAAAAGCTGAAGCAGTATAATCCCTAAGAAAACCTGCTGGCTGCTTTTTCCATTTCCCTGTGTGGCCTTTCTGACCTGGTTGTCTGTGTAAGCAAAGCTGTGCCTGCTGTGGCTTATTCTGAATGGATCAAGACATGGAAGATTCTATTTTTGACAGCAAGCAATGATAGTGAGAAATAAGGTACAGTGAACTCTTAAAATTGAGCTCTGTATTTAGAAATCTCTGCTTGCTTTCCTGCTCTCCTGGAGCCTGTAGTGTTTGCTTTTTAAGTTGTACTTTTCCACAATCTGTAAATCCTTTCTTCCAACCAGAATTTGTATTGCAGAGGGCGTTGCTCTCTGCTTCATTAAGGTTACTAAAACATGCTACTGGGAAGCTGCTCTTGGCAGTCCTTGGTATGTGAGCAGTTATTTTTGTGTAATGGCCATTGGTTTCTGAGGGGGTCTTGCTAACCACCCACTAACTCATAACATTCTTGAAGAGTGGGCGGGAGGAGTTAGAGAATCACTGTGGAAGGAAAAGTGCTGATATGGGTCTTATATTCCATTAATAGCAGATAGGGAGAAGTTTGAAAAAAATCCTTGTTTGTGTGAGTTCTTGTCATCAGTTTTAGGATTAAGGAGAGGATTTCTGTCTAATTTGGACTAAGATATTATGGGCCAAGAAGTGTCAAGGGCAATTCCTGGGGCAACCCTGATGCATCTTGTGTTAACTAGATGACATAGGAGCTTTCTTTCACTAATCAGTACTTATATAACCATAGTCACCTACTCATGCATATTTTTGTAAGGAGAGGCTTGGTAAAACTTTTTTTCATACTTTGTGTGTGTGTGTGGTACTGGGGTTTGAACTCGGGGTCTCACACTTGCTAGGCAGGCACTCTACCAGTTGAGCCACTCCACCAGTCAGTCCTAGGTAAAGCATTTTAAGGCAGCATGAAAGCTGAAGTCTATTAGTACTTAGAATTTAATTTTAACTTGAAAGAGTTGAATCTGGTTGGCTGTTGTTGATATTTATGGCTATGTTCTTCAAGGATTTTGGTCTGTGACTTTCTTGTAATGTCCTTGTCTGAATCTGGTTATCAGTAATGCTAGCACTGTATGTATTCTCTTCGTCTTGATTTTTTGGAAGAGTTTGAGAACACTTGGTATTGGTTACTTAAATATTTGGTTCTTCAGCAGTGGAACCATTAGGTTCTGAACTTTTCCTTGATAGGAGACCTGTGTGTGTGTTTCTAGCACTGAATCCAGGGTCTCACACATGCTAAGCAAGCGCTCTACCACTGAGCTATAATCCCAATCTGATAGGAGACTTTATTCTTAATTGAATAAAGAATAATGAATATACTTACTCATTATTGGTCTGTTCATATTTTCTGTATCTTTTTGGCAGTGCTAGGGATCTATTGCAGGACCTTGAAAGCAAGGTGAGCACTCTACAGTGGAACCACACCCCAGCCCTGGATTTTTCTTTCATAATTCAGTCTTGCTGGGGTGTGCCTAAGAATAACTCATTTCACTCAGACTATCCAATTTGTGTATATTTGTTTATTGTAGTCTTTTTTTTTTTTTTCTTTCAAGACAGGGTCTTGGTGTATAGCCCAGACTGAGCTTGAATTCAGAATGCTCCTGCCTCAGCCTCCCAAATGCTGGGCTTGCAGGTGTGTATCATCATGCTTGGCTTTCAAAAAGTAACTCTTAATTTTGTTGATCTTTTGTATTTTTCTAATCTCTATTTCAGCTATTTTTGCTCTCATTTTATTATTTCCTTTTCCTAACTTTGGACATAGTCTCTTTCTAGTTCCTTGAAGAATAATGTGTAGTTGTTTGAGAACCATTGATTTTTTTTTTTTTTTATGTAAGCATTTGTTGTTTTGAACTTCCCTAATAGAACTGCTCTTGCTGTATCCCATAAGTTTTGGTAAGATGTTCCCATTTTTGTCTGTCACAATATTCTTTAATTTCTTGTTTGACCCCTTAGTTGTTCAGGAGCACATTGTTTAATTTCCATGTTATTTTAAAACATTCCAAAATTCCTTCTGTAATGGCAGGGGGTGTAGCTCAGTGGTACATTGTGTGCTTAGTAGATGGTAATGTCCTTGATTCAATCCCCAGCACTGGAAAAAAAAAAAAAAAAGAGAAAAAAAAATCCTCCTGTTACTGATTTCTACTTTTATACCACTGTCATTGTAAAAAGATACTTGATATGATTTCAGTATTCTTAAATTTGCTAAGGCTTATTTTGTGCCCTAACATGTGGTCATCTTGGAGACTGTTCTGTGTATACTCAGACAATGTTTATTCTGTTGCTGTTGGATGGAATGTTCTGTATATGCCTGTTAGGTCCACTAGGTCTAAAGTGTTCAAGTCCAACATGTCCTTATTCATTTCCTGTCTGAATGATCTATCCATTGTTGACAGTTGGATATTGAAACCTCTCCTATTACTATAGTGAAGTCTGTCTCTTCAGATCCTTTAATACTTGCTTTACATGTTTAGGTGCTCTGAATTGAAGAATTGACCCTTTATATATAATCTTCCTTGTTTTTTTAATAGTCTTTAATTTACAAAATCTGTTTTGTTTGATTTAAATATAGCTAATCCTGCTCTGTTGATTTCCATTTGTATGGAATACCTTTATGTCCCTTCACTTTCAGTCTATAAGTGTCCTTAAAATAAGATGACTCTCTTATAGGAAACATATAGTTGTGTTTTCTTTGTTTAATCTAGTCACTTTTTTTTTCTTGGAGAATTTAACCCATTTATGTTCAAGATAATTATTGATAAGTGAGGACTTACTACTCCTTGTTTTATAGATACTTTGTTTCTTTCCTCTCCTCTTTGTGGTTTTATGGTTTTCTATGGTGGCATACCTTGAATCCTTTCTGTTTTGTTTTTTCCCACTGAATGGTGGTCACTATCAACATTGTGTCTTTTCTTTCTTTGTACCTGATTCTGGACAGTCTAATTGTGCCCTTACTCTTATTGTTCCATGTGAGATGAGACAGGATTGGGCTCACTCCTCGGAATGCTTGGGAAGCTCTATGACTGCTACCAGTTCTCTTTCTCCCATGTAAAAACCAGAGACCCACATAAATGCTCTCCATCTGGTAAGGGCTACCATGGTCAAAGTGAGACTGTTCGGCTCTGCAGATCACATATGTGTCTCAGATTGTTTCCAAGTAATAAATTGTCA